CGAGTTGGCTGAAGAACATAAACCATGAACTTGTATACTGCATTTAGCACCATCATACAGGGCCGAAGGATGGGGGGAGAGATTACACACTAGTGAAGTGTTGACCATTTTGCTTAGTTTGTTTTTCAAAACTTTTTAGGGGTTGGGACTTTTCAAAGGTTTCATAAAATTTTGAGATGTTTTACAAATTTTAAAACTGTTTATTCTAAACATTTGCTAAAATTTGACATATGTATTGTAGTGTAAGAAACGCAAATGTTCCTAAGAAACAGTTTGAAGATTTGTAAAATTTCTGAAAATGTTGTGGAACTTTTAATTTTGAAACCTTAAAAGTCTTGAAAAACGAAGGAAAATGACTAACACTATTACTCTTAAGTCTATAGATTCAGTCTGTAGGTACAGAACGTCGATTATCAAAAGTGGATTATGAACACGTGGATTATCAAAAGTGGATTATAAACACGTGGATTATCAAAAGTGGATTATGAACACGTTGATTATCAAAAGTGGATTATGAACACGTGGATTATCAAAAGTGGATTATGAACACGTGGATTATCAAAACGTCGATGATACAAAACTTCGACTTGCACAAAACATTGAATGCTTCTAAATTTCGAAATTACAAAACATCGAATACTGCAAACGTTGACTACTGCAAAACGCCAAATAAAAAAATGTTAAATAATGTTGGGTTAGGGTAGTTATGGGGCCAAGCGCTGCGGCTGCACTGGGCTAGGGGGCCGAGCGCTGTCCAAAACTGCAAAACGTTTAACACTACAGAAAGTCTACTGATACTAAATTTCGAAATTACAAAACGTCGAATGGTACAAAACATCGACTACTACAAGACGTCGAAGATCAAAATGTTACATTGTGTTGGGTTAGGAGATTATTACAATAATTTCTGGTGCTGAGCGCTGAGGCTGCGCTGGGCTAGGGGCCGAGGGCTGCGCTGGGCTAGGGGCCGAGGGCTGCGCTGGGCTAGGGGCCAAGGGCTGCGCTGGGCTAGGGGCCGAGGGCTGCAGCCTTTTAAATGTTGAATGATGTTGTGCTGTCTCTGACCTTATTTTGGGTTAGGTAAGTTAGGCTATTACAGTTACAAAATTTAAAGAAAATTGCTAAACAAGAAACGTTAAATAATTAGCTAAATCAGCATTCAACATTTAAGAGGCCGTAACGCTCGGCCGCTAGCCCATCCTAGCCGCAGCGATCGGCCCAGAAATTGTCTTAACCCAACATAATGTAACCCTTCATAACCCAACATAATATAACATTTTGTAGCTGTCAACCTTTTTTAATCATCGACGTTTTGTTATTCGACGTTTTGTTATTCGACGTTTTGATAATCGACGTTTTGATAACCAACGTTTTGTACCCACTCACGTTTAGCCTTACAATGAAACTTGTAAGATATTGCAAAACATTTCCCATTTTAAACATATCACATTCATATATATGGGATAACTGTTATAATTGCAGGGAAATCCCGCAAAGAATAAAATTTTAATGACGACCTTTGATCCCAAAGACTAAACAAATATAGTTTTTATTGGCATTATGAATTATTTAACAAACAAAGAAAACTATCAAAAATCTCTGAAGCCTCATCCTAATTGTTGGCATGACCATGTATGATCTTAAAAATTGTTTAAAAACCTAAAAAAGGGTTTCATGAACTTTAAGTTATAACATACCAGGGCGTCCCACGAAACATGACTATTGAGAAACCAACATGAAGATCTTAAAATAATTGGCGGCATTAAAGTAAATGTGGTCTGTCATATTTGTGCTTTCAAAATAACCGGAGATATGAAAATGATGTTTACAATTTTGGTTTTTATTTCAAAGGTCAAAGACGACCTTCAAGTCTTCACTCAATTCTCATGTAAATAAAAATATAAATTGAAAAAACTGGTCATGCATAAAATACGGGGTTATCAGCTCTAATTAAATATATTTTTTCCAATAAAGAATACAGTATTTTTAAAAGTGAAACAATCAGAAATCACGATTAATGGCTGTTTCCAACCTATCAACCATATATGGTTGCTTTTTCAAGCGGGGGGCGGGGGTTACTTTTTTCCCCTCCACTTGGCATCCAAGGGATAGAAGGGGGGGGGCTACCCCTCTTGTATATTAGAATAACAGAGATATTCCAGGCAATACACAGTTAACAATTATGCCCCTTAATATTTGTAACCTAAAGTTTTTTGTCCTATATAAAAGTTAAAGATATCGCAACAAGAATTCATCCGAACAGTGATCTCTGTATAGTCTTTAAGTGTATGATTAAACCTTTTTGAAAATTCGCCAATCAATTAGCCCCGAAAAGCTACAGGGTGCCCTACGAAACATGACGATAGCTGGACGTCTTTTATCTTTGAAGTAATTTGCGACATTTATTTGTAAACCTGATTTTAGAAGAAAAATTCTAGAGTCAATAATCCCAAAATACCCCTAGTCTTGCCATTTCCAAAATGTGGTCTGCCTTTTTTCTCAAAGTTAATAAATACTAAAGTGGAACAGACTAAGGCAACAACGACAGGTTGGGCCATAGAGTTTTATTTGGGTTGGAAATAATTGCACGAAAAGATTTCTTTTGGAAAGTAAAGACTAGAAAAAGGACCCATGTAAATGTCGTCTTCAGCTAGAACTTTAAAATTTTCATAATCAAAAATAAAATTTTTTCAAATTTGGTTTGGCTGTCTCCGACAGGAGATTCCAGTAGAAGACGACATTTTATAGAGGTTTTAAAATTAATGGTTAACAACTATATAGTCGCTTAATAAATTCATTGATTTTGCCTGGCAGGCTTGCACTTCTAATTCTATAAGAATTTATATTTACAACTGCTTGGCTTTGTTTTGGCCCCCCCCCCCTAAAAAGAAAAAGAAATGTAAGCCCTTTCTGGGGAAAAAACCTGAATACACCTCTCTTAATATCTTTAAAGCTATGTCTAGTTCTCATGCTACTCTTAAATCTGCCAAAATACAAAAGTGAAGACCAAGAGATATATTTCGAATATCTTTATTTTTCGATATCACAAATTGTGCATTCCTTGTTTTACAGGTTATGCATGCAGGCATTATTGTGCTGTCTTAAGTTATTTATTGTTCAGTATTAAAATTCACTTCTAAAATCTTAATTTACGTTATTCTATATTTAAGTTAAATACCAATTCTAAGTCTGTGTTTGTTAACAAAGGGAGTCCAGTTTCTATATATATATATATATGTATATTATTTTTATACACTTAGGACATAAAATGTCGTCATCCAACTATGAGTTTGTATTTAATCACAATTTGCTTTTTTTGTGAGCTTTCAGTAATATTAAGCAGATATGAAGAATTTCGTTCAGATTTTGACAACTTTTGTTTTATTTGATAAAAGTAAAATCTGAGCGAAATTCTCAATTAATATTGACAGCACTAAAAAGGCTGACCACATTTTTGATATGCCGGGAATAGGAGAATTAATTTTGTGGTTATAAAAATAATAATAATAAAACTGCAAGACGACATTTTAAAGCTACCTGAGCCTGATGAAGAAGTCGGTGCTGAAGTCTTACTCTTAAAAATTATATAATCTAATCAAGTTTTAATCATTGTTTATTCTTTGTTGAAAATGTTAAGCAGCTCTGATATCTATATATAAATTTGGCTTGTCTGTCTGTTTGTCTGTCTGTCTGTTTGTTTGTATCCAATAAACGTCAAAACGGCTGAACCGATCGGGCCCAAATTTTTTGTGGGACATCACGTGACCACAGGAAAGGTGTAAGAATGATAAAAATAAAGAAAATGTTTTTTAAAGGTTTTTAATTTTGTAAAAAATTTAAATTCTTGAAAATCCGCGAATTTTTTTTTAAAAATCCGCAAAATTTTTTTCTTCTTTTTTTAAAATGTAAACAAAAACATGTTCACAATTTAAATAAGATGGGCGCGAAGCGCCCTGAAAGCCTAGTTTTTATAATTTTTTTCTATTTGTGATTTTCTAAATTCTCCAACTAATTAAATAAAAGAAATAAAAACGACATTTAGAATTTTTCGTTGCTCTTATTGGCTAATTATGAGTCCTTCCATCTCCATCAGCTTTCCGCTCTCCCTCTCTGGCCATTCCTTTTAGTTTTCTATTTCCTTTAATCTCCTGCTCCTTATATCCATGCTCCTTTAATTCTTCTCCAATTCCTTCGATCCTGCGCTTTCCTCTACAATTTATATTCTTTTCCTTTCGACTCTCCCTTCCATCTCCTCTCTTCTCTTTCCATCTCCTTTCTTCTCCTTATATCTCCGTTAATTCTTCTTCACTCTTAATCCTAATTAATATCACACCAAAGCTGAACCGGGCCCCCCCCCCCCCACTTTTTCTTCTCCTTAATTTCTTCTAATTCCATCTTCACTTTCTCCTTCGTTTCGCCTATTTAATAGCTTCTCTTAATCAAGCTGTTCTTATTTTCCAATTTCCTTCCTTCTCATTCCCTCGCAACGCAACATTCAAGGTTACCCAAAAAGAAGGATGCTTTAACGACGACCTGACACTGGTTGAATATGACGGGTCGACAGTTTATTTTGTATTTTTCTACTTTATCAAGTTTTTAAGATTTAAATATATATATCTCCACTTTAAATATAACTTTTAAATCATTATAATGATCTGTCAAAGTTTGAAACAAGTAAGCAGCTGCTGGGAACCATGAAAAAAGACTAAAAAAATTCCATACAATCGTCTCCGAAGTCTCATTCTTAGTGGATAACCCTGTATCTTTCTTTCGACAATTCGTCCAAATGTGTATCGATCGCGGCTTCTTTTTCCTGAAGTTCTCTTTTATACAGTTCTTAAATTCTAAATTTTCTTGAATTCGTCGACATTGCTTTTATACTGTATTTCGCCGTTAAAGGTTAAAGTGGTGTAAGTTAAAATGCGCAATTCTAGATTAGTAGGAAGTCGAGTCTGCGCACGCGTACAAACTTACCGGGATCTGAAGACAGCTTCGCAGTAGAATTCACTAGAATATGCCGGGCGCCGGCAGAAGCAAGAGACTAGGGCCTCAATCCAGTACATACATTTTACATACATTCTTTAATAAGAGATTTCCTCAATACGCACACAGTGACAACTTTAATAGATAATAAAAATACGCATTTAAAGACTTTCTGAAGGTATTGTATATGATTTAAAAACAAATTCTTTACGTTTTTGCGAATTATTTCTACCCTAAACTGGCCTCCTTATATAATATATATATACAATAGAAACTGCGCAGCAAATGCAACTTGCATTTGGAATCTGGATGTCAAAAATTACTGTAAATAATTAATTTTTTTACGTTTCATAATTAAAAGATACATATATAGTTGTTTTNAATAGAATAGAATAGAATAGAATAGAATAGAATAGAATAGAATAGAATAGAATAGAATAGAATAGAATAGAATAGAATAGAATAGAATAGAATAGAATAGAATTCTCAGGTATTTTTTCAAATTTAATTAGAATAAATGATACTTATATTAAATCTATTTTTCCACTTATAAAATAGACTTTTTTTTAACTGACCTAAACTCCCTTTATTTCTAAAATAAATAAAATGTCAAAATTAACTGGAATAATTGTTTTTAGGCCGGAAACATATTATATTTATACATCTAAATTATTTATTACAATTTTTGTAATATTTTCAATGATAAAACATTATTTTGAACTTGTAACAAAAATATTTGCGAAATGAATCAAAAAAAAACTAATGAAATAATTGCAGTTTGTGTTCAGGAGAAACCAATCTGAAGTTCTGAACGAGATATGGTTAAACTACAACCATAGACATGTACAGTACTTCTTCCACCATGTACAGTACAGCAAGCAAGATGTTCGGACATACAATTCAAGGAGGACCTAACTTTAGTACCTCGAGTAAAATGACTTCAAGTCTGAAGAGGAGGATCAGGTTCATATACATTAGTAATATTATTATCAATTTAATTATTATTGTCATTGTTGTTATTATCTATTTATGACATTGTAATGGGTATTATTAAGTGCGAAAAAGTTTTTGACGAGATTTTTATTTTGATCGAAAACAAACTAGAAAAATTTTAAATCACAGCAAAACTTTTTCGCACTCATGATACCCATTTCAATAACATATATAGTTTTATTCAGTTTTACTCAAAATTATTATTATTTTTATCATCATTCATCATCATTATTATTATTATTTGTTAAAGAACTGAGTCCTCTGATTCTGGTTGTGATGTTGGATATGAAAATATTGATTTGACCTCTACGACCTCCTCTGTACTTGATGAACAATTGATGTCATGGACAGCCAGGTACTGAGCAGTCAATAGTGTACACGCTACACAATGCACATTGCACGTTGTGCAATGTTTTGTATGTACACAGAGAATTTCTGTATGAAAGAGGGATAGATAAACTAGATACAGCTGGTTCAACTAGATACAGCTGGTTCAACTAGTCTCAATGTTATATGGTTCAAAACTATTATTTTCTCTAAGATTTCCTGACTTCCTTTATTTTTTTCGGCTCTTGAAATACTTATATTTCATTATCCGTAAGACCCTCCCCCCCATGAACCATCGATTTATTTAAGAGCCAATATATATGTAAGTATAATTCAAATGGCTTGTTTAAAAGTTAAGACTTATTTGATGCTTAAAAAAATTGGTTCTAAAACAGAAAAATTATATTTAGAAAAATTTGCGTTTTCCAGAAATAAAGGTTATTTACGTCAAACATGTAGGTTAGAAAGTGTACTGCAGCAGGAGATTATTAGAGCACAACAAACCACAGAAGATGCAAAAAATTCGCTTCTTTTTGCAGGTAAATAGTTTAATCATAAAAATACTGTTTTTGTAGAACATTCAAAATTATTAGACGCAATTACAAACATAAAAAGGGAGGCAACAGAAAAAAGTTCCGGGCCCAATCTTTCACTTTAGTTTCAGTAGAAGTAAATATTTCCATTTACTGATAGTGCCGATTGAAGGATTCATAACTCTAATTGGATAATGAGATAGATAGAAAGATAGATGTTCTATTGGTTCAGAATAGACAACAAACACACGACTGAACCCTGATTGGATCAGGCGCTAATGGACTTGGCATACAGGAGTGCTTTTTAGATGAGAAAGATTTTTTTTCTAGAATATACGTTTTCTCACAAAATAAAATATTTTTTGAAAATAAAATACAGAATTTAAAGAAATTTGTCTTAAATAGAAGATACAGGTGGCCCATATATTGAGCCTTCTTAGTCCTATAGGACAGTAGTATTTAAAGAAAAGGACAACGTCCCGGTCCTTGTCCTTGCCTTGGTAGATCAGCAGGACACATCCCCATTCCCCAGCAACACAAATCATTATATGATTAAATAAGTTAAAAAGATAAGTTTAGATAGATTGTGTTAACTGATTTGAAAGTATGTTAAAAATATATATTATTTTTGAATTTTGCAATATTACCGTACATTGCTCTGTCCATTATGGGAACTGAAAGAGAAATGTAAATTTAAGTAGACATTTTTCTGTTTATATTGACTGATAATTTTAGTTTAATTAATTAGTTGATTATATTTTTGAAATTCACATTTCACAAGTTTATGAAATATCAGTTACTTGTAAAGTTGTGTTCCTGATTCTTTAAAAAAAAACTTTCAAATCCCCATATCATTGCAACCTGATGGTGTAAATTTTGAAATTTCAAACTCATACTAATTGATCTAACAGAATTCATGGTTTGAAATATCAAAGATTTTCTATATACAAAGATTGTAGTGATTAGAAAATAGAGTTTGTGGCAAGGACTCAATTCCTTTATTGTGTTGTAGAGGATGATGAGGGACGGGACAGTGTTCTCTCTGTCTGGAAGAAAAAAATGCACAATATTATGGATTTTACTGTTGATCTCATCGAGTGCGTCAATATTGACACCAAGGTATATACTTGCTATATTTTTTAGGATTTTTAAAATTTATATTTTATTTATATGTAAGAGAAAATTGTAAGATATTATTTTTACTTAGCCATATTTTCATTATTTTAATTTTTTTGTAAGATAAAACTCTGATTTTGAAGCCCACTTGATTACAAAGATATTGATTCCATTGGCTATTGTACAGATTTATCAATTGTACTTTTTAAATTATACATATAAAGTTTATTTGTCTTATAGTATATCATTTTGCAAGATTGTAATATAGGAAGAATGTTGTTTTCTATATATTTCCCGGACGTCACATTATTTTTACAAATCTTTTTATTTGGACATATTCAATATGTATATTAAAACTTTGCAAGGAATTATTGATATTAAATATAAGATTCATATTTTATAGAAATATCATATTTTCCACCTGCCGCACATTTTCTCAAAGTCCAAAATACAATTTTTCCGATAAAAAAATATCAAATAGATTATTTCTCAAATAGATTAATGTATAAATAGGTCAATACTTAGCATCCAACCTTCGAGTGTGCGAGGTGGGGAAGACTTCACTGCAGCGCTCGGCCCCGTAGCCTGTCCTAGTCGCAGCGCTCAGCAAGAAAGTGTCTTAACCTAACCTAGCCCTAAATAAATACCAATTTAATTGAAAATTGTTGAAAAAGTGGTCATGTACAAAAGCAAAATCTGCAGTGAAGTCTTTCCCACCTCGCACACTCTAAGGTTGGAGTTCAGCGTCTGCTAACAATTTGCATGCATTGGGAAGATAATTAGACGGTTTTTAGTTTTTTTAAGAATGTCGTCTTACACAGTATTTAATTTAATTATGAAAACTAATCAAGGATCGGATGGAGGAAGGATCGGGAAAATGCTCTGGGAATGAATCACCACTGGAAGATGTTGAAGAAGAAGAAGACAATGATGAAGAGGTGGAGGAGGCAGAATATGCTCAAGAAATCCGAGAGGAGAGTAAGGATTGGTTTAAAAATCTCCAGGTGCCAGTGTTAGTTGAGGTTAAAACCGCTATCGGAGATGAATCTGAAAACAAGGTAAAGGAAATGGAGGCGACTGCAAAGCTGATTGAAGAAAAACTGAAAGATATGCAAGAGGAAGAAATGGAGGAGGATTTGATAAATAAAGTGGAGCAGGAGGGAAAGATTGATAGACTGGAGCATGACTGCGAGATGAAAATGCAGGAGAAGGTAGCTCAGAGAATAGAGGAAAAAATGGAGCAGAATTTGCTAGACTTTCTTGAAGAAAAGAAGTTACGGGAAGAAGAGAAGAAGGAAATGAAAAATGAGAAGTTGTTGAATAAGCTGGAGACTATCCTGGAGCAGGATGTTAAAAATAGAACTGATTTTCTTGAACAAGAAATTAATTTTGAGTTGAGTACCAAGAGAAGGGAGGAGGATGAATTCAAGCAGAAATTACTGGATATTTTTGAGAAAGAGGAGATTGAGAAAGAAGAACTGTTAAACGAGCAAGATCAGGAATTGCAGAAACAGAAAGTAGTGAAGCAGATTCTCCAGGTTCTAGAGGAATATGATACCAGGACGGAGAAATATTATTATCAAGGAGATACTCTGGTGGAACAAAGTGTTCATGAAACACACAGAGAAGGTCTGGTAGATGAGCTTTACGCTGACTGGAGAGTTGAGGACGGTACGCTGGGAGATGAAGATAAATCTGATCTGGTTTCAGAGGATGTTGATCTGTATGGTCGATTCCGTGTTATGAAAGTTGAAGATGAATATCTGCAAGATGAGGCCAGGGACATATTTCCTCCGTCCTCCAGAGAGCTCCGGAGAAGGAGGAGAAGGGAGAGGAGAAGGAGGAGAAGGAATAGTGTTTGGAAAGACTACCTGAACGCCTACAAGCAGCACAAGTTTAAGACTAGGAAGCAAATTGATGAAATGTGCATCAGACTTCGCAATCATGAAATAATTCAGCGGGATATTGTTAGAGGTCGCCATAACTCGATGCCAGACATTTTCCCATCATTGTTTACACAAACAATTAAAATGTTCAGAAGCATTTTTGATCAAGAAGATATTTTTGAGGACTGGAGACATAATCTTAACGAACCAGAAGAAATGGAGGACATATTTCAAGATTGGAGGCAGAATCTGAAGGAATATGAAGAATCGGAGGACATATTTCAAGATTGGAGGTGGAATCTCAAAGAATATGAGGAATTGGAAGACATATTTCAAGATTGGAGGTGGAATCTCAGATCAGAAGACGACAATTTTCCATGTCTTCTCAGTCGAGCATCAAGTGTTGAGAACTGGAATCAATTTTGGAGTAAGTTCTGGAAACTTCGAGAGGAGAACATGCTGTTAGAGGTTGAGGTTGAACCATCACTGGAGGCTTGTTTTGAGGACGCTTTGATCCCTGCCGAAGACTTTCGTCCAGCATACAACATTCTTGATGATCAAGACGATGAAGGTTATGAAGAAGTTGCAGGGGATCCTAATGATGAAGGTTACGAAGAACTGCCTGAAACTGGATTCAGCTCAGAGGAAGAGCTCATCAGGTAGGAAAATTTTTAAGTTTTTTTATTTAGAATTCGAAAGCATGTAAAAGATATTTTTCATTTTATTATATTTTCTAAGATTGAACACAGCGACTGTCCGTGAATACACTGTGGGGACCTCAACTCCTATTTCTGAGTCCAGGTAAAAACTATTAATCTAATCAGATTACAATTTGATTATTATTTTGTGACAAAAAGGCTTAATTAATAGTTTTGTTTAGTTTCTTAAAATATCCAAATATTTAGAAAGGATGATTGGGGTTCTCTGATCTGGGATGTATCTGGAGATAGTGATATAAACTTCCAGCTTCAGGAACTAGAAGAGAAACAGGACCAAGAACTGGAAACTTTAAGACCTCAAAATTATGGGAAGGTGCAGGAGCCTTTAATGGGATGCAAGGAGGTGGAAAGGGATGTTCAGGGGGGTTCAGAAGAGTTGGATGATGACCAAAGGAAGTCGTATTTGTGTAATGATGATGAAAATAAGGTGAAAACTATTTAAAAAAAAGGTGTAAAAATTTAATTTCTCCTTTTCTGTCAAAAAGCTATCTTTTCTTATTTACAGGAGATCATACTCGAACTCGTAAATGTAGAGCCTGTTTCCAGAAAGAGAAAGAGGGAGGAGTTTGAGGAAGACATTGAAGAAGACGACATAAAAGCTATACTCAACAAAAGTATGATCGAAAGCAATGAGGTTTCCTGTGATGATCTTATTCATTACATTGATGAAGAACAGAATATGACTCCCTGTCTCGTTTTCTGGGAGGATTCTCCTAGAGATGATATAAACAAGGATGAAGCACTGATCCTGGACAATCCTATGGAGAATTCCGGAGAACCTGACCTCATTTTCTGGGAAGATAATTCTAGAAATAGTTATGTGGATCTCATCTCATTCAACGAGGATGGAATAAACTTCAGTGATCTAATCAAGGATACCAGCTATAACATATTCTGTGAGAGCCCTACGTCGTCTGCTCCTCTGCAGGAGCCAGAGAGAGGCGAATTTGAGGATTTTGTTGAAGAGAGGAGTAAGATGGCGAATTGGGAAAACAAAATGAAAGAGAAAAGAAAGATGGCGGCTTATATTCCAGATCTGCTGACTGGAGAAGAAGACTCTGCCTGTGTTTGCGAAAATGGGATTTTCTGGCCAGAACCAGGCAGTAATAACCCTGAGCATGCTTGCTGCTGGTGGGAGAATGATGGAAAATGTGCACCTGATGTCTTTAAGTCAAGGCGCACCCCAAAAAAACTCCAAACATTGTCGCTTGACAAAATTACTAGAGAAGAGCTCTCTGAAAACTTTGAACAATGGCGAGAGAGTTTTCATAAAGGGAAGAGGTTGAGGGAGAAAGGTGAAGACATTGATGATATATTTTGGGATATTGAAAACTCTAAAGCAAGCAATCTCTGCACAGAGATAAAAAATCTTCCATTTTGGGATTCTCCAGATGTTTTTGCGGATTCCTGTGAGCTCATTGAATCTGATCGACCCTACTCGCCACCTCATTCATTTGCGAAAGACCCAGCAAATATTTTTCGAACCTGGCGATATTTGTTCAACGAACCTGCCCGATACTACCGTACTACAGGGGGAATCAGGAGTCAGGAAACTCCTTCGGGATCAACCAATTCAACAGATCTTGCTAATCCTGAAACCCTGGAGAAGTTTGAGGTGATGATGGAAGACCGAGGACGAAGAAGGATAAAAGAGAATTCTGATAATAAGAGAGCTCAGACCAAGAAGGATCGGATAATGATGAAGATGAAGCTGGAGGAGGAGTTTGATGCTGAGATTGATCGAGATGAGAAATCAAAAGGAATGAGCAATTTATCTTTTAATCCAAGGATATAAATCCAGATATACAAACAAATGTTTTTAAATTAAAGGTTTTTTCTTCGAAGTTTACCGAATATTTGAATTTTCTAAAAAGTTAAATAGCTCTTGATATTTTTAGATTCAAATACAAGCTTTGTAACTGCCAAGATGCAAAAAAATGAAATCAAACCTAAGAAAGTTCGAAGAATTGAGGATGTAAGGCGAGATAAACGCTCTAAAAATCGTCCAAACTACAAAGTTGATGACAGACAACCTCATCGTCGATTTTAAACAATAAGTCGTAAGCTGAAAAGGTCAAGATTTTTGTAAACCTAAAGAGTTGCTCTGTGTTTGGTAACGTGTTTCTTGAATTTTTGTAAAGATTCAAAACTTTTTTGAAAATTATACATTTGTAATACACATGTTTAATGTTTGTTGAGTAATCAAATTAATATACATTCTGTAAATAGTTTACGTTTAAGATATACACAGCATAACCTTATCATATACATAAATCATATATTACTTTTGATTGATTGTACGCATTTTTATATTATACATTTTGCTTTTTTAAATGTGATTTTTTATGCATTGTAAAATTTACAATGTACAATCTACCTACATACTAAAATATTTGATTTTTAAAAATAAATAATAAATGTAAGCATTTTTTCACTATAGTTTGATGAATATTTAAATTATTTTGGACAGCCCGGTCAAAGAAATAACATAAATAAGGAAAATTTAAGCTAGTACAGACAAAAAATTGTTATTATAAACATTTTTATCGTATTTTTATATTGAAAATCTACTGAAAACTCAGAAATCATTGGAATATATAGAGATATAAAAAAATTATTGAAAAAATTTGTTTTAATTCTTTCTAACAGATTGTTTTAATTTATATAAAACTAGCTTGAGAACCTAGCGTTAGTTACCAATAGAGTAAACAAAGTTACTCCGCCTTTTACCCGCACTTTCCCAATAAAATTGGACCCATTTAACTTTAAATCTCAAAAGCTAAGAACATTCCTTTGGTTTTCCCGAGTGTCCCAATCAAAATTTGAGACAAATCGGTCAATGGGTTTCTGAGTTATGATCGGACATACAAACAAACAGCCAAACAGAGATTAAAATTTTATATGACATATATGACATGACAGTTGCATTGGTGAATAGTTTTGAATGTATTCTTTCATTAAAGACGTTTTGCAGTTTATTTATTATAATATTACTGCCATAAAATATTTCTTATTATCATTCTTTGATATCAAACATTTAACAAATTATGGAAGAAAACATTTTATACTATTCATCAACTGTCATGATTCGTGGGACACCCTGTATATTGATAAATATAGAAGATATCAGGAGTTGTTATAGTTTATTTCACTTCTTGGAACTAGGAAAAGGAAGTACAGTGTTACTCACAAAGGATGAGACTTCATAAACGACTTTACGGAATTTTTACTGTATGTTTTCTTATAATTATGATACCCTGTAACTGTAAACGTGTTTCTCTCTTTGCTCAATAATTAAATACGTTCTTTATAAACTATATTTAAGGCAGAAATTTTTAATTCAACCAGGTCATCTTTAAACTAGAGTACAAGATTTAGACTAAAATACAAGCTTATCAACTAGAATACAAGCTTTTAAAATAAAATACAAGCACTAGAATATAAGCTATTAAACTAGATTACGAGATAATAAACTGTAATACAAGCTTATAAACTAGAATAGAATACAAGCTTATAAATAGAATACAAGCTTATGAACTAGAATAAAAGCTTTTAAACTAGACTTCAATATTTTAAACTAGACTTCAATATTTTAAACTAGAATACGAGCTTTAAACTAGAATACAAGCTTTTAAACTAGAATACGAGATTTTAAACTGGATTCAAGCTTATAAATTAGAATAGAATACAAGCTTATAAACTAGAATACACGCTTATGAACTAGAATAAAAGCTTTTAAACGACACTTCAATGTTTTAAACTAGAATACAAACTTTAAACTAGAAAAAAGAGCCTTTAAACTTGAATACAAGCTTATGACCTAGAATACAAGCTTTTAGACTAGATTTCAAGCATTTAAACTAGAATACAAGCTTTTAGACTAGATTTCAAGCATTTAAACTAGAATACAAGCTTTTAGACTAGATTTCAAGCATTTAAACTAGAATACAAGCTTTTAGACTAGATTTCAAGCATTTAAACTAGAATACAAGCTTTTAGACTAGATTTCAAGCATTTAAACTAGAATACAAGCTTTTAGACTAGATTTCAAGCATTTAAACTAGAATACAAGCTTTTAGACTAGATTTCAAGCATTTAAACTAGAATACAAGCTTTTAGACTAGATTTCAAGCATTTAAACTAGAATACAAGCTTTTAGACTAGATTTCAAGCATTTAAACTAGAATACAAGCTTATAAACTAGAATAGAATACAAACTTATGAACTAGAATACAAGCTTTAAACTAGAATAAAAGCACTAGAATACAATCTTTTTAACTAGAATTCAAGCTTCATAAATAGAATACAAGATTTCAAACTGGAATACAAGCTTTAAGCTAGAATACAAGCCTTTAAACTAGAATACAAGCTTTAAACTAGAATACAAGCTTTAAGCTAGAATACAAGCTTTAAACTAGAATACAAGCTTTAAACTAGAATACAAGCTTTAAACTAGAATACAAGCTTTAAACTATAGAAAACAAGCTTTTAAACTATAAGAAAAAATGCTTTGAACTAGAATACACGCTTTGAACACTAGAATACAAGCTTTTAAATAAGAATACAAGCTTTAAACTATAGAATACAAGCTTATGAACTCGAATACAAGCTTTTAGACTTGAATTTGAGTTTTTAAACAAGAATATAAATAAAATTAAAGGGAATTTTAGTGAAAAATAAAATAAAGTATAAATCCGAATTACATTTTGCAGATTTGAAAAAATAAAGCCATTAAAGAAAGCAAATTCTTCCTGTAGGCTTGGGTGTAATTCCTCCTTCATTTTCATTGGTTCAATAGTGCACATTGCAAATTTTACATTGATAAGTGTTAAAATTGTCTTTCATATCAATCAAAACACGAAAAAATTGTCCAATTTGAATGTTTTGACAATGAAAATAAATATTTAGTTTTTGAAACCCACTATAAAATGTAAACATATATAAATATGACATCGTAAGTAGGGTTTCCAACGCAATTAGATTTTACTTGCGCGCAATTGCGAGTCCTATAAACTCCGTGTAATTCTGCACAGTTCCGCGCAATTCAAGAACAGTTGCGGGCAATTCCATGCAACGTAATTCCGATTGGAAACCCTAATCGTAAACCTTTGGAATATAAAACTTTAAAATCTGCCAAATCAATTTGGAAATTTGAATTATCAAAGTTTGAATTATCAAAGTTTTTTTTTGCAATTAGGTTGAAAAGATGCTGGAATTAGAAAATTAGAGTTCGGGAAGTGTTCAGTGTCTTTCTTTCACTTTCAATTCATGAAATTAATTCAAAATTGCAAAAATACAATAAGACCCATAAACTTGTGGGATAGGAAGACGATTCTGATGTACAGGGTGTCCCAAAAAAACATGGGAATTCTGTGACGAATTTGATATCGTCTTTGTTATGAATTAGCATTGTAATACCTAATTTCAGAAGCCATAATATTATTATATCTGCTAGAGTTTACTTTATGAAAAGGGTAAAAGACTGTAAAGATGTGTCTATAATGTCTCCGCAAGATGAACAGTGAAGACGGACAAGTTTACTCTGTTGTATACTGCAATTTTCTTGTTTTACTAAGTACAAACAAACAAATTTTGAACATAGCAGACGAAACTCTTACAGATACAGCTTTCTCAGTAGGTATCACTATAACTAAATCAAAGAATTATTTGAAAAGACGATATCGAATTCGTCACTGAATTCCCATGTTTATTGGGACACCCTGTAAACTTATTTGTATTTAATGCTTTTAAAAAGCAAATTGTTTTACCAGACTTTATAACACTGTTACAAAATAAATAATCATATTAAATTAAGAAAACAAAATTCTCAGTTTGCATTTCAAAATCTCTTTTATAGTTCAATCAATTGGATCAGAACAACGGTTCGTTCTGAACATAGAGAATAGAATATATATTTGAGAGGATATTAAAGAATCTCTCTGTACGAATATTTTCAGTCCCTTTTAGCCTGAAAGGGAGTTCAAAGTGTACAAATCATGTAAATGTTCACAAATTATAAGCAGTAGAGTACAAATTAATACAGCATGTTCCCTAGACTATTCATTTCAATTTCGAATTTTCTAAAGCTGTTAAATAAACTTTATAATGAATTAGGTGAATAAAAAACATCATTTGATTTATAGTTATAACAGAAAATCATCGTTTGCAAAGTGAAATGTGAAATGTTCTATGTGAAATGATCATTGGTCAATTATGAAACCAGCCTATTTCATAATTTGGTTTCTTTTAATATTAATTTTAGATTTTCTATAAAATGATATTCCAGAGCCCAAAAGGTTATATTGCATAAATATGTGAAGTATGCACCTGCAGTATGGAAACAGTACAACAAAATGGCCGTTTTACACTTTTTTCAAGTAAATTCCCCTCTAATATATATTCTATTCTCTTTGGTTGTTAATCCTGGTCATTTTAAAAGTTCATGAACACTTGCTTAAATGCCCNAGATGCCCTAGAATGAGTTACTTGTTGAATATCTGCAATGTCTAGCACTGTTTCAATTATAAATATTTAGAGTGTAAGTTGATGACGTAATTTTGAGATGACGTCAGCTGACCTAAACAATAAACATGCAGAAATATGCGTAATATATGAATATATGACATTTCTTTAACTTGGAGCCATTCCAGACAAATGGTTTGGGGGTTTTTCAAATAAAAAGTGGGATTTTCATTTTTTTACTTATCTAATTAGATTAGTCTCATTAAAAAAAAAATTACAGAATTTTATATTTACAAAAGCTCAATATATTTATTATTTTTGATTTACCAAACTGATATTTTTATAAAAATTGTTATGAAGAATTATTTAACACATATTATACTGATATCTCGAAAAAATGATATAATTATAGATTACAAATTATTTCTAAGAATAATCAAAATCATGAACCCTATAGAATCATGTTCATAATTTTTTTTTTTGAAAGTTGATTTTTTCGATTGCGGTTTCTCCATTTTCTCAGAAATCAATGATAAAATTGTTAGCTAGAGAATAAACAATTTTCAAGCTATATTTATATAAATATATTACTACAGTACGTGCACACCTTGTTTAAACGTTAACTTTGCTTGTATTTAGTAGGAAGAAAAATGTTTGAATATGCAACCAAATAATGTCCCAGTTCTAGCTATTCGTATAAATTGGACCTTTTTCGTAACGATAGCAAAGATTGTAATAAAGGCACGCGTACAATATATTTTGGTGAAGGGATGGGCATACTGTGATTTTAAGGTCTCAAACCAGGCAGAATCTAGGTGGGCCTGGGAAAACAATAATTATCTTCAGTTGGTATCCCGTCTATTTCTTTGCAACCTAATGGCGAAAACCGTTAGAATTTCAAACATTGGCCATTGATCTATATCAGAATGCATAATTATATATATCAAAGGTTTATATTTATAGATCTAAGGAATAGATATGTCAAGTTTGAGGAAAGTTGTCAATTTCTTTGTAACAATTTGTTTTAGGTATAATGCATGTGATTAGAATTAAGAAACAACAAAAACTACTGCGCTATATTCATCGGCGGATATTGAGGAATAGTTTTGAATGATCGATCATACACATCTTTAAAGATAATTAAACAGTTAACAACAATTTCTGGAAGGATTGGATTTACCATTAGTACCATCAGGGAATGCAGGATTAGTATTTGATTTGAGGGTTAGCAACTCTTTTTTCAAACAAGAATGCCAATTATGACGGAACATGATTTTTTCAATTCTGATTTTTTGGTATTTTAAAATTTAAGAAGCAAAGATTCAAGCAAAATATCAGGTCAAGTTTTTTTCGGACAATCTATATCTTTATATACTGTGCTTGTCTGTTTGTATCCAATAAACGTCAAAACGGCTGAACCGATCGGGCCCAAATTTTGTGTGGGACTCACATGAACCAAGGGAAGGTTTATGAATGATCAAAATTTTAAAAAATTGCCTCCGAGAAAAATTCGATTTTTATTAAATTTTAAAATCCACGATTTTTTTTATACAGGGTGTGTCACGAAACATGACAGTTGGTGAATATTTTTGAATGTCTTCTTCTACATACTGTATTAGATATTAAACTCATATATATTTTAGTGTGAAATCAGTTTTACTAAAATAAAACTGTCATATAAAAAAATGTTATTAGTCTCTTCAGTACCAAACAACTTATCAAATTACGGAAGAAGACATTTTAAACTTTTCGCCAACTGTCATGTTTCGTGGGATACCCTGTATAATCCGGTAACATTTTTGGTTTTGTTTAAACGAGAAAATGTTCACAATTGAAATAAAAGATGGGCACGAAGCGCTCTAAAAGCCTAGTATGTATATATTTTGCTTATCTGTCTGTCTGACTGTCCGTTTGAATTCAATAAACATCAAAACGGGTGAACCGATCGGGCCCAAATTTTGTGTCGGACCTCACATGACCCCAGGGAAGGTTTATGGATGATCAAAATTTTAAAAATTAGCCTCCAAAAAAAATCGATTTTCATTAAATTTAAAAAATCCACGAAATTTTACATTAAACTCCGCAAACTTTTTTGTTTTTGTTTTGCAAATTGCAATGTAGACAAAGTGAACATTAGCACGAAACAACAAAATACACCAAAACCAAGATTTTCTGAAGAAATTGCTCGAAATAGTTTTTGCGTATCAAAACGAAATTATATCGAAATTTCCTTCAATTTTTACTTGAAATTTTTTGCTCAATTAATTGGACGATTTTTGTGCAAAAAATTTCAATTGGAAATCCTAACGGGGGGGGTCTTTTTTATTCTTTTTATTACTACATACCCAAAAATTCAGAAAATAAAATATACACATTTGTTTTTGTTTGCTTCTTCGCGCAAACATATTTCTGGGAAGATTTTTTTAGAAAGGAACTGAGTTTCTGCAACAAACTCAAATTTTCTAACCTCCTATTTTCTTAAAACCTGATGGTGTAAACCTTTGATATTTCAAACTTAGAAATTTTGGTCTATGCAGAATAAAACATCAGCCAGTGAGATTATGAAAAATGCAGATAATTTCATTTCAGGTTTTCTATTTTAACCAATTGTCATAAAAAGCAGCAAGCAACAGCATTAATATTTTTTAATTCAATTTTGCTCAATAAAATTTTGTTGATATTTCATTTTTATATTTCATAAAATATAGGTGTTATCTGACTACAGCGTAATTTACAGCTGTAAATGCAATAAGAGGAAGGGGAGGTCGGATCATAGAACACGGAGATATGGCAAAACAAATCAGAAATTAGAGAAACTTTGACCAAAAGAGAAAGTATCATTGAAAATTTCTCAAACAATATTTTATCGATTGTTAATAATTATTAATACATAAAATATCCGCATCTAAAAATGGTCGTTTTAAAACGATCGTTTTTATAAAATTCGTCGTTTCGTCAACGATCGTTAACGATACCCTTCGTTAACGAAGAGAGGAAACCGACCTGAAGGGCATTGAGTATAGTTTTAAGAAAATATCAAGTTATAACTCCCCCACAATGGTTAAACTTCATGTAAGACGCCTTTCAATAAAGTTTTCAAAAACGATCGTTTTTCCAAAAACGACAGTTTTTATAAAGTTCGTCGTTTCGTTAACGACAACCCTTCATTAACGATCGTTAACAACGACCCTTCGTTAACGATCATTAGCATAATTGTCAATAATTTTTCAAAAACGATCTTTTCTTAAAACGATCGTATAAAAACGGTCGCAAATCGTTCTTATAAAACGATCGTTTTAAAAACGATCGTTATTCGTTTTCTAAAAGTTCAAAACGAGTGGGTCGTTTTTAAAAATGATCGTTTTTTCCGAAAACGAAACGATCGTTTTGAAACCGATTTCAAAAACGATTAGCAACCCTATCCGCATCCTATATAGAAGGGATCGAGAGGAAAGGTGAAAACATGCTCTTTTCCTCCCCGCCTCCCCTGGAACCCATCAAAAGACGCGAGACATCATAATAATTGTAATTTGTACGTTAAACTTAAAACGTTTGTAGAAAATTGAAAATATATATTCTTACATATAGATTTCAATAGTTGTACCAAGTATATTTAACCATCTTTTAAATTGCTTTATAGAAGGCAAGATTTTTAAAACATTCTTATTCACACTATTGTAAAATATCTAAAATCTCGATTTACTCAAGTTTAAAATTATAGGGGTGTAAGAGAGGATTCGTGTAGGGGGGGGGGGCACTTTGTTTAACCCCTTGGCAACATTGGGCCCCCACCTTAAAAAAAACCTATTTTGAAAAAATATTGATACCTTTTTTAACTATGTAAACTATTCGATCATATACACACTTCCATATAACAAGTGTTAATAAATTATTTATGTAATTTTCTTAAGTGGACTTATCAGACACTTCTCTTAATACTGTGATATAAGCTTAAAGGTAAAAAATAGAGATGGAAACGTTTCTTTCATAGTTACATTTCGCCGTTTACCCGCACTTGGTCGATTTTTGCTATTTTACTCGATCAACTCAACTCTCAAAACCAATCTATGAACATTCCCGTGGTTCTCCAATCAAAATAAGAGACAAACAAACAAACAAAACAAACACAGATTACAACTTTATATATGTAAAGATAGAAAATAATATAGTAAGGAAAACTTATTAAATTGGTAATTTTTGTCTTTAAACAAATTGCGGTCTTATTAAAATGATTGTTTTCGAGTAAGTTGTTACAATATATGCTTATAATCTGTTAAAGAGGTTTATGAAGAAATCTAGTAATTGATCCTTGAAATATGAAAAAATTGAAAACATGCTATAAAATGATGTCAAGTTTTTTTTTGTTAATTTTCTGATATTTGAAAAAAGACTTTTTCAAAAAATCCATATTTCTTTTATACAATTTTGAGGGAATTTATCAAGCACACACCTAATATTTACGGTTATAGGGCGATTTTAATTGAATAAAACATATATATTATTGTAATGGGTATCATGGGTTCCAAAAAGTTTTTGCTGCGATTTTTACTGCTTTCAGTTTAGTTTCGATCAAAATCAAACTTTGATCTTGAACAAACTAGAAAATATAAAAATAACAGCAAAAACTTTTTCGCACTTTATAATACCCATTTCAAAAACACAAATAGATAAAACTTTTGATTGAATTTCAGTTTGATATATTACGACAATCGCATTTGTTTCTTTATTTATCCAAAATAACCAAGTGATGGCAATAACTAAGCAAAATGAAATCCTTCAATCTTAAATTTAAAAATTTCGCTAAAAATTGTGACAATTCATCAACTCTAAAACTGAGTCATAGACATATTCGAAATTATATACTATGTAAGACAGACAATTTTGATTACGATATGGCTTTACGATGATTATTACTTTACACATATGACTGAGTTCAGTAGCTTTAGTTATTTTCCAAATCACCACAATCCTTCGTAAACAAGGAATTTTTAACATAAATTTTTAATTTTCAGACAAATTCAATTTTTAAATGATTAAAAATCTTAATTCTCAGTGATAAAATAATGCCTTTGCCCATATCTACCTGAACCTTTGAATCAAAACTGTGTCTCAAATAGCAAATGTTGGGCACAATTTATGCACAATATAAATTTTTTCAGCCTTTGACAACATTGCTGAAAATAGCTTTTGGCAACATTGAACACACCGTTAAAGATATGATAGTTTTCTAACAATAAGGAGGAAAATCAAGAAAACCTTGTATCTTTAGCACTAAATTTAATACAATACATTAATAAATTAAAATTTATTTATTTTTTGACATTATTTAATATTTACATACATTATACAGAATGGGTTTCATACTTCCTACCAACCAAAAGGAGAATCGTCAAAAAACGAGGATCGTCCAAACCCTCCAAATGGGTCCCGTGGGAACGGTTCTCGTCCTCTCCTTGCTGGACTACCTTGCTTTGGCACATACTCGTCCTGTCCTTCATAGACAATAGGGATCTGTCTCTGTCCTTGCTTCTCTAGAAACTTGGCCTTTTCGTCCTCCCGCTTCCTCATCAACATGAACTTGTTGAACCAGGTTGAGTAGACCTTTAACTTATTCTCCAGGGTGCTGATCAGTTCGGTGTAACTAAGTCTGGGTGCATCCTCCCCCTCCTCGTACAGCCAGGTCTCTATTTCGTCGAGGTAGGTTTTGAGGTTGATGAACACCTCCTCCTTCTCCACCGGGTTTGAATCCTCCAAGATTTTGTTCCTGAACTTGTAGAGCTGTTCCTCCAATCTATTCTTCTCTTCTTGTCTGTGTATCTCCTCCTGGTCCAGGGAGACTAGGTTGGATTCCTGGTCTCTCAGCTCTGTCACGCTCAACGGCTCCGGCATGGATTTAGTAAAGGATAGAACTGTTCTGCACGGAACCATATCTCTTTCAGGTTTACCATCATCTCCACACTCAGAGATTCGTCTAGCTTTAGATTTCTCTTGCGAGACCAGTAGAACCTCTTTTAACTCCAGAACTCCGAACTCATTAAAGCAAAATTTCAGACTGAAGACGCCTGAGGCTGTCTCAACTTCGTCCACCTTATAGAGAGAAATAAATTTATCGTCCACACTGGCCGATTCTGCGTACTGTAAAGCAATATTTAAAGGTAAATCTGCGGTTATCTCGATCTTTTTCTCCTCATTAATACTATCCCCTTCATCACATATCAACACCTTCTCATGCTCACCACCGTATACAAACACAGCCTCAATACCCTGGTGAACACTATCCTCAACCTCGAACTTCTTTGTGAGGAACTTGGAGCTGAGGCTGGCTGCTTGTAGAGCACAACCCCGAGATACAGCCTCATCAGTGTTCAACTCTGTACGTGGAGCTACTCCAAAAACATCCTGAATTGTCTGCTTGAGAATTGGTATCCTGGTACTACCTCCTACTATTTCTACCCCGTAGAGTTGTTCAGGTTTCACTGTGGTTGATGCAAGAAGATTCTCCAGGGTTTCTTTTATCTCAGAAACACAGGGTTTGATCAGATCTTCAAATTGAACCCGATTAATCGTAAAATTAACATCAACATCCTCTGTAATAGAATCGATCTGCACAGGAACTTGGTTTGTGTTAGTGGACATAGTCTTCTTAGCTTTCTCCATTGCATTTCTGATCTTATTTAATGCTCTCACATTCCCCAACAGTTTGATTTTGTGCTTTTCTTCAATCAATTTTACAGCAAAATCAACTAGAATATCATCGAATACCTTACCCCCAACTCTATTGTAGGAGCTGGCAAGTATTTTAGCATGTTGGGCACAAATCTCAGCTAGCACAGCTTGTGTACCTTCACATCCAACATCGACAAAAACAACATTTCTAGGTTCAGAATCCAAATCCTTAGTTTTTCCGTAACTGAGCGCTAAAGCTGATGTATCAGCAATAATCTGATTAACATGAAGCCCAGCTATCAGCGCTGCGTCCCGAACAGCAAGTTTTTGAGCCTGTGTAAAGTATATTGGGACGGACACTACCAAGGTCTCAATTTCTCCTTCCACCGCAGCAACCAACTCCTTTACCTTGGTAAACATCATACCAAAGGCTTGCTCTGGAATAAATTCTCGATTTTGAATTTCAAATAATAATCTTCCTTTACCGTCAGTTTTCACTGATGCACCAAATCTTGCAGAGATAGATTCCACGTCGTTGAAAGAGCGGCCCACTGTGTTCTTGAAGTAACTCACTGTGCTCTTGGGGTTTAAATTACGCTGGTTCTCCGCAGAAACTCCCATAAATCTCTGTCTCTCTCCAAAGGCAACAATTGTCGGTGTAGAACGGAGAGAGTAATCATTAGAAATTGTCTCCACCCCTCCTAACCTTGCAACAGATATATATGTAGAATGATCGCCTACGTCAACTCCTACAACTGCCATGATTTCGTATTGCTTTAACTTCTAAGTACTTATGCTCGTTCTTGATTCAATGTTGTCGAATGACTAAGCAAGCATCGGACAGAATCCTGTGTTATATGTCAGCTGATTGTTCTGTAATGTGCTAGAAATAGGTAGAAAGTGCTAGGTTTAATGCAGGTTTATCCCGCTAGATGTCAGAAATTACTCGATCCTTCTAGAAAGCTCTAGCTCTTTCTTTCAGAGCCATCTTACACTGGAAAGTTGCGGATTCAAATATTTAATAATATATCTTAAAAAATGTATGCTCATAATTAAGCCCAATATTTGAATAGAAAGGTGAAAAAATAAATTTGTATATTCTTTAGCAGACAAAAATGAATAACCAAAACAAAAGTTGTGTTGCCTACTGTGATTGGTCGGATTCAGATGGAGTATCCTAGTTGACCAATCAGAGACAAGTATTGGTCACGTTACAATGTACGTGTTGGAGATTTGACAGTTCTAGAAAATTCTACATCTAGAAGTTTCTAAGCAGAATAATATTTCAAGATCGCAGTAATTATCATCAGTTTTGTACAAGTGTGAGCACTGAGCACATAATTGGATTTTGTAAACCAATTTTATCATGGGTAAAGATTATTACAAAGTACTCGGAGTGGCGAAGGGTGCTAGTGATGATGAATTGAAGAAGGCGTATCGGAAACTCGCCTTGAAGTTCCACCCAGACAAGAATCATGCTCCAGGGGCGGAGGAAAAGTTTAAAGAGATTGGCGAAGCGTACGATGTACTTTCTGACCCTCGTAAGAAGCAAATTTATGACCAGTGTGGAGAAGAAGGACTAAAGAACGGAGGGGTTGGCCCTCAATCCTCTAGTGGAATGGGCGGAGGGATGGGAGGAATGCCGAATTTTGGCGGAACCAGTTATTCATACCATGGAGATCCCAAAGCTACATTCGCACAATTTTTCGGAACTTCAGATCCATTTGCTTCGTTTGGCGGAGGCTTTGGCAGACAAGGCGGAGGGGGGCCGGAGGATATGGATATTGATTTTGATAGTCTGTTTGGAGGCATGGGTGGAATGGGAGGAGGAATGAGGGGAGGGCCCCAGCCAAGACGGAAACAGCAACGAGTTCAAGATGCAACTATAGAAAAAGAAGTTTTTGTCACATTAGAAGAAATTCTGACCGGTTGTGAGAAGAAGATGAAAATTTCTCGGAAGATCTATGGAGAAGACGGAACCATCCGGTCGGAGGATAAAGTGCTTAAGATCTCCGTTAAACCCGGCTGGAAATCCGGAACCAAAATTACATTTTCTAAAGAGGGAGATCAGGTTCCGGGGAAAATCCCTGCTGATATTGCATTTATTATTCGTGACAAACCTCACAGTTTGTTTACCAGGGACGGAGCTAATCTACAGTTTGTTTACAAAGTGCCACTCCGTGAAGCTCTCTGTGGTTCTGTGATTCAAGTCCCTACTTTAGAAGGACGTAAAGTTGGAGTAAACTGTACTGGAGAAATATTGAAACCAGGATGTACTAAACGTCTAGCTGGATATGGGCTACCGCTGCCAAAGGAACCGTCTAAGCGCGGAGATCTGATCGTCAAGTTCGAAGTTTTGTTTCCTGACTCTCTAACCCAGAACTCGAAAGATATTTTGTACGATGTTCTCTCCTAGTTCTCAATCCTGCTGTCTCTCAATTGTCATAATCTTAATCCAACACTCAGAGAAGAAACCTCATTCCATTTTGTATTTATCTCGTAAATATATCATTTTTATTAAAAATGTGTTTTTACTTTGGAAAATTCTAATATAAACAAAGAAATTGTTCAGAAGTTATTTTTTTTTGTGAAGAAAGAAATCTTCTGGGTTGGGAACTTTTATGTTGAATATTTAAAATTCTGATCGGCTGATTTCGACATCCACTGTGGGCCTTTAAATTTGAAGAGCAATGCTCTTCAAACTTCGTAACTTCAGGGGACAAATACTAAGCGGAGTATTGAAAAGATCGGGATCAAGCATGGAAACCGAAACCGCAAAATAATAGTTTCCAACTCAGGGAAATTAATTATTGTCGAAGAAAGATTTGAGTTTTGTTCAGGATAAATCTTAATCCTTGTACAATATATACAACAGTCGGGGTTACCTCGGTAAAAGATTGGACTTGACTATCTGCAATTCTTTGTAGTAAATATAAAATTTGAGGTTGTATTTAGGCTCGTTTTCATAAAATTTGATAACGGTTTTTTTTTATTTATTTGCAAAGCAAGAATAGCTGCAGGCGAACAATAATTCAAGAAGTCTCTTCACTCGCGGGTAACCCTGTCTGTATTAAAATTAAATTTATCTCGACTCCTTAGTAACTACATGTGGAGTACTTGAGAATTTCAATAGTTAACGATGTTCAATTTTCTTATCACAAGTATTTGTAAATTTTTGACTTTATCAAAAATTCAATAAAATTTAATAAAATTCAAAATGTTCAATTGTCAATATTTCACTGTGCAGAAATAATATCTCTTGGGCCTTTTTAGAACTAGTCAGCGTTAAAAAAAAGAACATTTAGAATAAAAAAATCATTAACATGCAAAAAAATTAATAATCTAACTGAGCTGGGATCTTTAGAATGGTGGATATCGGGATTAATGCTTATTGCTTAATCCACTCTTTTCTTAATCTCCAGATTAAATAAGGCTTGTTCTCCTCTCGTTACTAATCTCCAGATTGATTAATCGATCGGGATTAAGGATATCTCATTCTAAAGTTTTCAGCTCTGATCACTGTCATTAGGCACTTATTCGATATAAAGGTTTACATCCTATCAGCAAGCGTCTCTAAAGAATTCTGTGATTCATGTGCTCTTCTAATTTTCAAAATTCATTAACCTGTGAAAGGAAATTAACGAGTGCAAATGCAATTTTACTCATCAAAACTTGTATCTTACAATCCGTCTTGAAACACTACTTTAAAAAACGGTGACATTTTTTAAATTAGATCAAACTGACTTTCGCGGAAATTTGTCAGAGTCCCCCCCCCAAATTTTTTTAACACTATATTAAACAATTTTCAAGATTTCAATTTTTTGTGCGGTTCAAGTCGAAACTTGCGATACCATTAACTACATGTTTAAAAAAGTTTAAGAATCGTCAATTAAAAAAACCTCAAAATTTTTATTGGGTTTATTTAAATGAATAATTTATTCTGGCTGTAAGTACTTTTTTGAATATTTTACACATGGTCCCAGGGTTAATAATTTCATATTTTAATTAAAAACTAAAATAACCTGACCGAGGATATTTTTTTCTCGCTATAATTTGGAATTGCCTAATTCTAGAATGTTGAAATTATACACTCCGCCCAGGCAACCTTGTCCAAATAATTCAAACTAATTTTTCTCTATTAGATAGAGCTCTACAAAAAAAATCTTACACAAGAATTTATTAACTTAATTTGCCTTTTTAAGGCCTTGGGACAATTTTGATTTAATTCACATTTTAATAAATATGTTTTCAAATATTTATCGTTTCCCATTATTCTAGAATTGAAATATTTTATATTGAGCAGTCAATATCCTTGGATAAGGAATTATCAAATTTTTTCTAGAAAAGTAGAAAAGTAAATTTTATTTGGATGTTTTGTATGTATTTTATCACAAGAGAAAGATCTTTGAAAAAGAAAGATGAAATAAACATGCGAACAGTTTTTCTGGGGTTGACTCAAACAACTTGTCTTAAAAGTGGTAACATTTTTAAAGGTTTGCAAAGAAGTCCTTTTGGTCCTGGTTCCATTAGGACTAATGTAGGATTCTGAAGCTGTTGTCCTCTAGAGAAAAAAGGACAAGACTACTTGAGGTCTTATCCCGAAACCTGGCCTTGATCATCACATCGGATACTTCAGCGAAATAATTTCTGAAAACAAAATATTGCAAAAATGAAACCAATATATAGTGGATAAAAATGAAAATTTAAGTGCTTGGAACAATAAGTATGGCGTTTATTAAAATCAATAAAACAGAATAAACAAGAAAAAACAAGGAACAAAAAAGAACGACTTAAGGACAGATAATTGTTAAGACAATCTATAACTAGAAAAGAACAAAAAAATTATGGTACGCAGAATGCAAAAAGTATTTTAAGATTAAATAAGTTTTATTCTAAATAAGTACTTAAAACCTGAAAAGTGATTACCATATCTAAGGAATTGAATTATCAGCTGATTACCTGTATCTAGGGAACTAATTTATCAGCTGATTACCTGTATCTAGGGAACTGATTTATCAGCTGATTACCTGTATCTAGGGAACTGATTTGTTAGCTGATTATCTGTATCTAGGGAAGTGATTTCTGTAGCTAGGGAAGAGATTTATCAGCTGAATACCTGTGTCTAGGGAACTGATTTATCAGCTAAATACCTGTATCTAACGAAACAAATTATTAGCTGATTACCTATATCTAGGTAACTGATTTATCAGCTGTTTACCTGTATCTAGGGAGCTGATTTATCAGCTGATTACCTGTTTCTAGGGAACTGATTTGCTAGCTGATTATCTGTGTCTAGGGGAGTGATTTATCAGCAGAATACCTGTGTCTAGGGAACTGATTAATTAGCTAAATACCTGTATCTAAGGAAATAAATTATTAGCTGTTTACCTGCAATCTAGGCAACTGATTTGTCAGCTATTTACCTGTATCTAGGTAACGGATTTATCAGCTGATTATCTGAATCTAGGTAACTGATTTATCAGCTGATTACCTGTATCTAGGAAACTGATTTATCAGCTGATTATCTGTATATAGGGAATTGATTTAGCAGCTGATTACCTGTATCTAGGGAGCTGATTTATCAGCTGATTACCTGTATCTAGGAAATTGATTTATCAGCTGATTATCTGTATCTAGGGAATTGATTTATCAGCTAATTACCTGTATCTAGGGAATTGATTTATCAGCTAATTACCTGTATCTAGGGAATTGATTTATCAGCTAATTACCTGTATCTAGGAAACTGATTTATTAGTTGATTAAGACTAGATTGGAATTTATCCTCATCCTCCATTTCCAGGTTCCCAGCCATATATTTTATCACAGAACCTAAATATTTCGATATTTTGCTCCAGATTTTGTAACATTTAAGGAGAATATTTTCCATTTTTTTAAAATAAACATTTTAAATTTGACAATGTCAAATGAATTTAAAAACAGTTTGAATTACAAAAATAAAATGGAAAGTTAGATTTTGCGTTATGATGAATTGAAATGGAGCGTAAAACCTGTGATGTAGTAAATACTTCAATAACAATGATGTCGTAATATGGATGATGATCAAGATCTTTCTCCCTGAGGAGTATGAAAAAGTACCTGGTAAACCTAAAGCAACAACTAGAACATGACAGCTGGAATCAAATCTTGACAGCGCTGTTGCAAGCTTCATGCTCTTACAGATCTAAAACATTTATGTTGCATCATAATTCATTCTTGGAAAATATCTAAAAAAATACTTTGAAAAGAATAACATCTATAATAACATCTATAATAACATCTATAATAACATCTATAATAACATCTATAATAACATCTATAATAATTTGACAAAAATCCGATCTAACGCAAAATAATATCGAAATATTCTGAAGTTCCAACTTTAGTGTTGAGTATCGTTTATCTTGAACGCTTGATCTTGATGTCCAATGTGGGCACTTTTAAATTTGAGGATCCATGCTTGATCCCTTAATTAAAGGTAAGATGGAGATTAATGTCTGATCCCGAAATTCAAAATCAAATCAATAAAGTTTTGACTATGTAAAATCGTATTCAACTTCAAATATCATCTTAACTATTCTACAGGGTGTCCCAATAAACATTGGAATTCAGTGACGAATTCGATATCGTCTTTTTAAATACTTCTTTGATTTATTAAAGTGATACCTACTGAGGAAGCTGTAATCTGTGAGAGTTTCGTCTACTATCTTCACATTTTGTTTGTTTATGTTTTGACTGCATAGGGTTGTACTTAGTAATACAAGAAAATTGTAGTATACAAACAGAGTAAACTTGTCCGTATTCACTGTTCATCTTGCAGAGACATTATAGTCACATCTTTACAGCCTTTTACCGTTTTCATAAAATAAACTCTAGCGGACATAATAATATTATGGCTTTTGAAATTAGGTATTACAATGCTAATTCATAACAAAGACGATATCCAATTCGTCACTGAAGTGAATTCCCATGTTTATTGGGACACCCTGTAATACAAATTATATATATATCTAATACAAAAAATATTAATACCTTATGTTTTTTTTATATATTTTGTTACTTTCAAATATTTAAGAAACAACAAATTAATAATTGTGCTAAAATGTTTAAATTTTTACAATTGTTCCTCATTTTCTTTTAATGAGAATCATTTTAAGTTACAGGGTGGCCAAAACTTTTTTAAAAAAATCCGTACAAAAATCCGTACATTTTCAGAAGAAATCCGTACAATCCGTACAATTTTCGAAAAAAATCCGTACAATCCGTACAATTTTCGAAAAAAAATCCGTACAATCCGTACATTTTTAAAAAAAAATCCGTACATTTTTTAAAAAATCCGTACAATCAGTACAATTTTCGAAAAAAATCCCTGCAATCCGTACTTTTAAGAAAAATAAAACCATTTTTGAAAATATTATTTAACACTGTCTCCCCCCCCCATTCCCA